GCCTCCTCATCTCGGCCATCTCTTCCTCCTGGGCCGTCAAAGGGGGCGGTGGTGGAACCCTCATATCCGCACAGTCCCGGTCCCAATGCCGCTGAGGGGCCCTCGCATTTTCCCGCTCGGCATGCTGGAAATGATGACCGACGGGAGTTGGTCCTCTAGCTTGCGACCCGATCGGGGTTCGGTCACTGGGACTGGGATGCACTGCTGGTGGGGCGCTACGGCGGTTATCCCGATGGGTATGTAAGCGGGATGACGCTGTGGTCGTTTCCGCGCGTGGAGTCTCTCCTGTAAAGCTGGAAACTCCCTCTTCTTCGTTCACCATGTGCTGCATGAATTGGGCCATGTCACGCATGGCCTGGGGATTCCTCCTCAGAGATTCAGGAATCACAAAATCCCCATTAACACGAGGATATGATCCTCGACTGGATTGTCCCTGGGGGTTTTGACTCCCCGGGGTGTGACTCCTCCCGTGACGGTGTGAGCCGTCGTTTGTATGATAGGAATTGATTCTGACCATTTTTAGAAATAGAGTTTTTTTGGATGTTTAGAAAGTGAAACTTTTTGCAAGTTTCCCACAGACGGTGCCAATGTTGAGGGTAAGTCCCGCAGATCCGAAAGCCCAACACGAACTTTGGATATATCAGGAATGGCCCAGAATCAAAGTGTATAAGAAAATATAAGATCTGAACTAACTAAAACTCGAAAGCCCATTTGTATTAATTAACCAATCTGATTACAAAGGATTTCCCGATCGGTAAGTCGGAAACTATGCTTTAATACAAGAAATAAGAGCAAATGATGTTATTCTAGAGCTTGAGTATTGAAAATCTAACCCTTACAATGACTTGAAATCTTCTATTTATACTAGAGCATGAGCTGCCTCTTGCTGATTGGCCGTTGTTCCACCGACTTGGTCATCCATGCTTCCACTTGCTGATGTCATAGTCTGGCATTAACTGCACCTGGCCACTTGCTGGTTGGCCGTTGCTCGAACGGGATGTTGGTCCGTACTGAAGATGCTATCAAATTGGCCCAAGTATGATATATAGCCCGAACCTCGTTCGATATGTCTTCTTACTGGGCCAATCTTTATTTGGGCCGAACCCCGTTCGGTATGTCTCCTTACTGGATCTTCTCATCATAGAGTGATGGGCCTGTTACTTGGGCCGGACATCTTGGGCCTTCCCGATCTGGGTATTGGGCCTCTAGGTCAATATCCCAACAGAGCTCATTTGTTAGCACTTAAATTGATTTAATCAAGTAAATTGACTGAGTGAATATGAATGATTTGGTGTGAAATTTGATTTATTGAAGGATAAGATTAGGTTACAATGGCACAAAAAGAGTTTACAAAATTAGGATTGACATAATTTAAAATGTGATTGATAGAGTATATCTAGAGAGAAGTGAGAGCTAGAGAGAGAAGTGCAATAATATGCTTCAATAGAATGAATTTGTAACCCCTATAACTACTCCCAAGGGGAGTATTTATAGAGAAAATACGGGCTGGGCTCCCAGGCCTTGGGCTTGGGAGACCCATTTACAACTGGACCGCTACTGGGCCGAATACAAAGCCACTAATGGGCTGTACAAATGAGTAAGTGTAGAATCCGGTTCTGTGAGGTCTTCGTGGCCGACGAGGGCGTGGCCGACGAGGGCACGGCCGACGAGGGCGCGGCCGACGAGGGCACCCGGGTTCCTTGGGCTCAGGACCATAATCTGGGTTGGCACCTTTTCGGCCAACGGGGGTCCCCTGGCCGACGAGGGCGCCACTCTGTGTTTTGTGCTTTCTGTTCTTCTGAGTGTGTGGGTCCGGGGGCTCAGACCCATATACTCCATCAGTGATTGAAAAAGTAAAAATTGTAGTTGAGATTTGTATATAATAAAATTAAATATTGTAGACCATATATTTATTTCAAAAAATAAAATGTGACACTTATTTTGTGACAAGCCAAAATAGAAAGCAAGAGTGGTAAAATGGGACAAAGGGAGTAACGTAATATATATATATATATATATATATATATATATATATATATATATATATAATATGTGTGTTGGCGCGCTCACACACACATATGTGTGTATGAATGTATGTACCTAACTATCACATTTGTTATACTCCTTCCGTTCCTAATGATTTTGCCAAGTTTGACCGACACGGGGAATAGTAAAGTAAAAACTGTGTGGTTGAGATTTGTGCAATGAAGAGAGAATGAACTAGAACCACAAATCAAAATATATATATATATATATATATATATATATAAGAGGAACTTTTTAAGAGCATACAAAGCGCCACATAATCCTGCCATGTCAACCATCATATATAACAATTATTTAGTTATTTTTATACTCTGTACCTTTTATTGTTATTGGATTCTATTTTGATTGCATATTGATATGGAAACAAATGATTTTAGATTCCGTCACTTTTGAAATAGATCGATTCCTAATCTAAATCAGGAAATCTTTGTATGTTTACAAATTCCTAATTTTGTTTACTCTTAAGATGTTTTTAATTAGAATGATTTCAGTCTCAGACTAAATCAGATCAGATCAAACATTAATAATATTTGGACACATAAAATGTAAAACCGAAATCTACCAGATCATATTACTTTAGACCAAATCAAACCCGAAAATTTTAATTCAATTAAAAACATCCTTATTAATGACGTTTTCAATGTGATAAAATAATAAGTAAAATGTAAAATCTTACTATTAAAAGTATGTACTCCATATTTCATACCATGTTCAATGAGGAATATTAAAAAATATATTTTGAAGTGCATAACAAAGTAAATTAGAGGACATGAAAATAATTAAGAAGCTTCTCTATGAATTCTTTAACAAATGGAATATTTTTATGTAGAAGACCATTTATGCTATTTTTCATAACAATTATGCTTAGTAGAGAAGCTTATGTAGAAGACCATTTATACTATTTTTCATATAATTTTTATTTATTTAACAAATGGAATATTTTTTTTCATGATTCGGGATATTCACCTTTTCAACATATTCAGCTAGAATTTAATTAATTCCAGCAAAATAAACTGATTCCACCAATATTAGTATTATCAAACAGACTCTATATTTAGACTGAGTTTATTTTGTCTTTTGCGACACATTATATATGATTCCGAAACCAATCAAATTTTAAATTAGATAAATTATATACCGCCCGTGCGTCGCACGGGCTTGAAACCTAGTTATTTACTTAAAAGAGAAAGTGACAAAGTTGGTGGGACATCCATAAAAGTAAAGTTGGCAAAATTATAAGGGACGGAGAGAGTATAAAATATGATTATAGGATTTGAAAATAGAGTTAAAGAATTACTTTTAGTTTATATTTTATTTTTTATTTTGTACTTGCTGCATAGTATAAGCATTTCAAATTTATATTTTTTGTTTTCAACTTTTATTTTATTTTAAATTTGTATTTTTATTTTTATTTTTTCATACTTTTGATACTTTTGGCACAGTGGTGATAGACCATACTATTAACTGCAAAAAGTGATCTTTTATCGAATTTAAGGTGCCATTTAAAGCTTTTTTTAATTGAAATGGCAAGTTGGCCATTTTGGACGGGTAGAGAGCCTTATATGACCCTTTAGCCATAAAATTGTAGACACACTCACAATTTAATTATTATTTTTGTTTTTTTAAGTGTAACTCGGAGCTTATAAACGTAACTGCTTTTATAATGTGTGGTGACGTTATATGTGTTTTTATATGAAATACATTTTGTATGAAAATAGAGCACATCAAAGATAAAATGCACACCTTAGGCCAAAAGTTGTATACGGAGTACTACATATCTGATTTGAGAATTCAAAAACTATGATTCCTGAGATAGATGTACTTATGTGATATTGCTGAGATATCTTTAATCTATGCATACAATTAAACTCAACTTGATTTACTCTAATAACGGATAAAAAGCTCATAATAAAATTTAGATTTTCAAATTTCTAAAAAGGTGGAGAATTACCTTTAGAGATTTTTTGCAATCTCTTTAATTACAATTTGAAACATATATCTTTGTTCAAATATAGTTTTTTTTCCTTATGGCAAAGAATCTATAGTTCATAATATTTTTATTTTTTCGGGCACAACTTTAAACCACACAATACCACTTTTTAAGTCATGTGTCAAGTTAAAATAAGAATTAATTATGTTATGAAGAGAATAATATTTTCACGTTTACAATTTATAAAAACTCACACCCCGTGCATTGCACGGGTGAGAAACTAGTTATTACAAGGCATGAAAATCATGTTCTCGAAGCGGTAGTACTTTCTGGGCGTACGACTAGGCAAAAAGTGTTGATTCCAAGATTGAACTTAACTCCTTCATATGTGAGGATGCATTTTAGGTTCCGGCGATCAATAAAAGTCAAGGTCAATCACTTTCTCGTGTTGGGTTATTCTTAAAAAAATCCCGTGTTTTGTCATGGGCAACTGTATGTGGGCATGTGACCGTGTCACGAGTTACCAAGCATGAAGGGTTAAAGATATTGATATGCAACGACGATGGTACCTCGAGTTCGTCAACATTAAATGTTGTATATCCAGAAGTTTTTCAGAATGTTTAATATTTTTTATTATTTATTTTTGAGAATGTTTAATGCTTTTTACGTTGTGAAGTGTTTGTTTTACGAAATGAGAGAAGTTTTCGTTATATATCATACGGAGTACGTGTGTTTAATTGTTAGTTGAATAATAATATCTACAAAAACATTTCAATACGCGCCTTACATTATTATAAACAAAAACAACTCCAAACTTTTGTCCCGTGCATCCCTGTTCAACTAACAATTAAACACGGAATTGATATGGGTAAAGTAGACTAAATGAAGAAGATGCTCAAAAAATTTCATCAAACAATTCCATCGGAAACCGCCCTAAATGACGATTGCCAGACAAAGCCTCATGTAAAAGGGCTTATTTGCACTTTTTATGAAATACAACGACAAACCAACTAGTGATTTTGGTGTAGAGTCAAGGAGTGATTTTGGGTAGAGGATTTCCCGGCAGCCAGTGAAATCCAGTATCTTCTTGCCGAGTGGCGAAGTACTTCGGCCTGGAAAGGTCATGAAAAGCAGCATATGGTAATAGTGCACCATCTCAGGTATGAAGAGCTTCCACCAATAGGTCACTTTGAACCAGGGTGGGTGGGTCAGATACTTCTCCCCCCGGCAAGCACTGTTCAGGATTGCCTTGGCGCACGCTTCCACCCTCCCTATAGGGATTATGTTCACCTGCACCTGCATGCCCGAGGAGTTAATTCTCATTATCATCTCTCTAGAGCTTCCTTCATATAAGTAATACTCCCTTAGTTCTTTAACTTAGAACTTTTGTATCTTTCCTTATGAGATGTCCTTAAAACTTTCTCACTTACCCTTTTAATTAATCAATTAATTAATTTGTGGTTTCTGATAAACCACAAATCAATACACTTTTTACTTTGTTATTCTATGTGCTAGTAAACTCGAAAAAGTTCAAAAAACAAAGGGAGTATCACTATTGTATTACTACGTACGGAGTATAATATATGAAGTGCTTTCTATTATGTTCATTCTTAAATAAACGAAACACATTTATTTTTACATTATTCACATGTTCTGTTTGACTATTTATTTATATATTAATGTATTAATAAATTACTTTAAATTTTCAAAAGATGCATGTTCTTTTAATTTTTTTACCAGAATAATATACTCCATATATTAATGATGAAAGTTATTCATCGATAAATATGAAAAGTGGACTGTTACACTTAATTATTAACAATTGTTCGGTATATATTATAATGAAAACATGCAATAAGAAAATGTTGAGTACGTACCTTAAAAAGAAATTATTCAAAAAATTTACAATATGACTAATTAACTACAGACATTGCTAATTAAAAAAAATGTATCCCTAAAATAAGGCTAATTTAATCCTATTTAAAGTACAAAACTTCCTGGTTAGTTAGTCCTGTTTTAGAGATAAATATGATTATCTTATTTATGCATTTTGTATGCTTATCTATGCATCTTGGTGCTGATGTTATTTATGCTTGTTTGTGTTTTAATCTTGTTTAAGATATGGGGTTAACAATATTCTATGCACTGGAGAGTTCCGTCGCCCTAGTCCTCTATGTGGCACCTCTGCACTTCCCCAACATCTGTATCTCTTCCAGCTGCTACATGCTCATTGCAACATCCGCACTACTACACAAGGTCTTCAGCGGCAATTTTTCCCTCTAGTTAAGGTTTTAGTTTCTCCTCCAATCTTTTTCGATTGGGCGGCTTTTTGGTTTGGGATTTCTTGATGCGAACAAGAGCAAAGACAGCAATAACAAGAGGATGACATCATCCAGTAAAAGTCATGGCCGAAGCTGATTGGGGTTAAAGGCTGGAACAGATCTGGATTCAAGGTCACTTGTAATTTGTGACGAAAGTGGATGTTTGACAGAGAATATGATGATTATAAGAGGTTTGATGATGAAGAAGGTGTAGTGCTGCTGACTCGTCCTCCTCCTGAACCGCCGCCATGAAGTGCTCTAGAGTCTAGAATAAAATGAGTGAACTCTACTTAAATTCCGTTTTATTTTGTTTGTGTTTTTCCGAACTACATGTTGTTTTGGTTTTGTTTTTATTTTCGATTGGAGTTCTTTTGATAGACAGAGTTTCGGTTCCGGTCATTTTAGGCTTAAATTTGCCCGTTTCAGGTTTAACGAGTGATGTTGTTTTGTATGAGGTGGTTGACTCTAAGTCTACTTCTAAAGTTCACGATTGGATTTGTAAAATCTGTCTGAAAGTTGTCTTATATGCGTTCTCGTTTTTATTATAAAAGCCGCTCTTTTACGATAAAAAAATCACGTTTAAGATATTTTCTCTATCCTAAACTCGATAAAAATGAAAAAGATACACACTTAAAAAAAACCAAAAGGAGAACAACAATCCAAAAAAAGAAGATGTTTGGAGGCCGCTGTGTAGAGACACGCCTCCGAGTGTTAATTAGTGTTAATTTTTCAGGCACTGCTTTTAACCGTCGATTTCTAGTTGCGTTAGGCTCCAGACTCCTCTAGTAATAAAAAAATCACAGGTTGCCTTTCCCATTCATGCAAGGGCATAGCTAGGAGGTGGCAGCCCGCAGCTTAGGCCCTGGCCCACCTCAAATTAAAAAATGTCTATATTTTTAGTGTAAAAAATTCTGTGTAAATTCTCAAAAAATATTCTTTGTATCGGCCCAGTCCGGTCCAGTGTCTTGACCCCGCCGTCTGCATTCATGTCCATTTTTTTACTACATTGCATTCCTTAATAAACTTAATTTTATGGTGTTCGCATATTTTTTGCATATTACGTGAATTTTCTTTCTCATTTGTGTGCTAAGTTGATTATTAGACGAATGCATAAAAATAATTAGCTTAGACATGTGTGGGAATGATAGGGCGGATGAATGAATTAATCACTTACATCCCTCAAATGGCTGTTAACGTCTAACCGGCCGGTGTTATCCAAGTGCTTTCCATGAGTAAGTTCGGACTCTATAAATCCAGGAGTCACTGTAGTTATTTTTATATTCGATCCGAATTCAACCCTCAATGTTTCAAAAAACTCGGACATTGCTGCTTTACTTGCCTGGATAAAAAACAAAAGGGTATTTGTAGGGATAAAAAACAAATTGTCATAAAAAGTTTTCATTATTTTATTAAATTTATTGTTTTAATTAATAGGACCCAATAAGTCAAGAAATTATTGTTCAATTAATTAATGACTTACGTTGTAAATGCTCATTCTGGGCGAGGATAACCATGCCGCGGATGATGATATCACGACAATTCTGCCGTTGCTCTTTCTGAGATGAGGAGCTGCAAAGCGAGTCATATAAACTGATCCCCAGAAATTTATGTTCTAATAAAATAAATCTATATTCATTTATACATTCAAAGAAAAACATACACCACACACACACACTCGCTACGGTACAATGGCCAAGCCAGAAACCTATCGTTAAGAGAGTCGAGCTTTGAGAATTTTATATTGTAGAGGTCAAAGTTTAAAATATATATCAACATATTTTCTTTAGATTCAAAGTAAGGTACGTACGAAATACCTTACAGGATACTGAAAGATTTGCTCCCTCATATTACTAAACGGGTACCGAGTACTTAGCACACTAATTTGTCCACAAAATATTCAAAGGGAAAACTGTTGCTCAACTAACAATTTTTAAAATGGATATATTTATGTTTCAATTCATCGATCACTACTCTACTAAAGATGTTTTAACTTGAACTGGAATTTTCTGATCTGGTCTAGTAAATGTTTGGTCTTTGTGTATTTTATAATTAACTTTCCAAGTCTGATCTAGAGTGGTTTGGATCTGAAAAATCCAACATCATATTTATTACAAAATAAAGTTTTTTGTCACAAAGCTATACTACCCACTAATTTTTTGTGACAAAAAACATAGGCATGTACGGATTTTGTCACAGTGGCATAAATCTGTACCAAGAATCTGATCCGATGTTGCAAAGTGATCGGTTGTTCTTTCAAAGGTTTCTTACCCGAACAAAATAGTTAGATTATATTGTAGAGCTTTCATCCAATACCTAATTAATAAGCGAATAGAATAATTTGTAGACCTAACCAAAGACTATTTACCCAAAGTTAAGGTGACATATTAGGAATGTTTGGAACTGATTCTGCTTCTGCTTTAAAAAAGAAGCAACTGATTTTGCTTCTGCTTTAAAAAAGAAGCACCCAGAAACCGAATCTGGATCAGTTTTCAAAACCTGGACTTACTCAACTTTTAAAAAAACTGTTTCTTCTGAGAGTAAACTAGAACACCAGAAGTACTTCTGCACTTTCACCCAAACACTTCAACTTTTGCGCAGTGGCGCAGTGGCGGAACTAGGGGGCGAGCCGGTGCTGCCGCCCCCCGTTCGCCGGAGATGGTGGTGTATATATATGTATATATGTATGTACAGCCCCGTCTCAAAGTAATGTAATAAATATACACCGACCTATTTTGTAAACAATAGTTTAGGTAGCAGAGATGGTAGAACTTCGCTTTAGCTTTCTTACAAACTCGGGTTCGAGTCCCCCTGGCGCCTGGAGTCTTTTAATTGTTTAAACCTCCTCTACTTTCTCTTCTTTTGTGACTGTTTTAGTTTTAATTTTGGAAAAAATAATTAAAATACCCCAAAGTTTGATGGGATGTGAGATAAACACCCCGAACTTTCATATGTAATTTAAATACCCCCAAACTTTATATAAAAAGTTATTTTAACACCATGGTTATGTATGATTTCTTTCAAAAATGTAAATATATGGTGTTAAATGCATAATTTAAAATAGAAAATTGAAAACATTAGAATTATATATAGTGGTGGGTAATACTATTTATTTTACTATGGAAGTTTAGAATGTTAATTGTATCTTTATGAATACTAAAAATTATCAAATTATGAAATAAACACCAAAAATTAATATTTTTGAAAGAAATAATACATGAAGATGGTGCTAAAATAACTTTTATATAAAGTTTGGGGTATTTAAATTACATATGCAAGTTTGGGGTGTTTATCTCACACCCTGATGGATAATCTACCCGGGGGTATATATCCGAAGGGTTATTGCTGGGAATAACTTAGAGAGAAGTCAGAGCAAGTAAATGTAGAGAGAGAGAGAGCGTATTATAAATGTGGAGCGTTTTCAGCGTGGTTACAAATGGGGAAATGGGGTGCTATTTATAGTAGCAATAAATGTCGGGTAGGGACACGTGTCAAGCGCCTATTGGCCGAGGGGTCACCTCAACTGGTTGGCGTTGGCAGCCGCATGTGGCCGCATTTAATGCGGCTGTTGGATGGGACGTCTGTACAGGGTACGGTGATCTGTACGCATGTGAGGCGGATATCATGTCGGGAGAGGTGCCCGCGGCTGCAGAGGACTAGCCGAGGGCTCTTAGTGCCGAGGGCTCCAGGTGCCGAGGGCTACTGTTTTCGCCGTTTTCTCCCAGTTTCTTAGTTTGCCTGGAAAACTCATTCTGTGAGAGTTTAAAGCCTTCGGGCAGGGGGCCGAGGGCACCCCTGATGCGTATTGCGGGCTGCTTGGTACTCTGGGCGCCGTGATTTGGGCCTGGTGGGCCTCCTGGGCCTGTTGGGCCTTCATTGGTGGAGTAGGAGTCTGTGGGCCGGGTGTTCCCGGGCCATATACTCCATCAGGAGTCCCTCACTCCTTTTGCCGAAAGGTATTTGAGGGAAAAGGAGTAATTTGTGCTTGCCCTTTGATGTTGTCCTGTCGTGATCTCTGAAGTTGGTGAGGAGTTGTTGCTTTTATGTCCCTGCCGAAGGCAGTCCCTCAGTTACCCACATGTCGGGACTTGAGGGCTTTCTTTGTCGTTTGTTGGAATTTCACTAATTTTGTAATTTAATGTTTTCCCCGAGGGGGTTCTCCAGTCCCCCACTCCTTGAGGCACTTGTAAAGTGGTTAAAAGGAGTAGAGTAGTGGTGTTGCTGTTGTGGGCAGAAGGCTGACGCTTTTCGTTTCATGTTGGGGGGATGCCTCGTTGAAAACCTCATTAGGAAAAACCCTGGGGGGGGGGAAATCCTAATGAGGGAAAAAGAGTGCACCGAATTCCCCCAATGATGAATCGAAAATGTGAAACCTTGGTCAAAAATGGAGAACAACGGTAATGCCGAAGGCTCTTCTTTTTCTGAGGGCTCATATGTTGATTAGCCGAAGGCTCGCTGTTGATGTCGTGGGGGTGCCGAAGGGGAGCCCCTCAATTTGGGGATCGAGGGCCTGATGGATGAGGGCAGCAGTGGAGTTGTTACCGGGGGGTCCGCTGTTTGTCGATTAGTTGGTGATGAAGATACCCGAGGGCTCCCATTACCTGTGTGTCATGGGTTACCCGTCAATGAGGCAACTCCCCGGGGGCTACCCGGTTCTTACAGTGCTGAGGGGGAATCCCCGAGGGGTGCCCTGATATGAAGCCTTGGGTTTCTGAAGGAGTGATCCCGAGGGCGACTGTTATGTACTGTGTGGGGCACAATCCGGGGGCGCTTCTGGGTAGGTGTACCCGGAGGCTCTCCTTGATGAAGTGGAGTGAAGTAGAAAACCCGGGGGCTTCCAGAATATAGCCGTTGGAAATATAGCCGTTGGAATATGTAACGTCAGGTTTATAGCCGTTGGGGGGGTACACGTGGCGTGTGATGGCTGGCTGTCCGTGGGCGGCATCACTGATTGGGCGAAGACGCGGTGTGTAATGATGGCGTCCATCCGGAGGCCCAGTTTTCGGGCCCAAGCCCGGACTCTGGGGTCTATAAATACCCCGGAGCCAGAGCCATTTCTTCTTGCGCGATCATCTGTCCTAGCGAAGCTCTGCCGGAATTATTCTAGAGAGAGAAAATCACCCTCGATCATAGCAACCTTCAGAGGTCAGTTCTCCCATCGTTCCTCACCGTTTTTCGTTAGCTTTTGCTCCCTGGCCTTAGGTTAGGTGTCATAGCCTTGTAGAGAACCCTCGATTTAGGAATCTTAGCCTAAGTACACCAAGGATGTCGTCCCAGAGTGACTCGCAGAATATCTCGAGGGAGCCCTCGGTTGAGGACGAGGTTGCTTCCGATGTTGAGTCAAGTAGCAGTGCGCCCTCGGTTGCTGATGACGAAGCCGTGGCCTTGGAGTTGCAGAAGGCCCTTGCTGCTGAAGTGGAAGCCGAGGGCTTCGAACAGGAGTGCGAAGATGAAGAATTAGCCCTCGCGTATCAGGTGGCGGAGGACGAAGCCCAAAAGGAGGCGATGACGGTTACTGTTGCTGTGCCACCCCCTCGGACTGACTGTGGTGAGCCTAGTACCTCCAGGCCGTTGGACCCGACGCCTCTGAGAATAGCCCCCGGTAAAAAGAAGATGAAGTCGCAGAGGGCTGCTGTAACACTTGAGATTTAATTTAAACGGATTAATAGTACTACTCATACCAATAATGTGCATCTCCTTTTAAGGGAGCTCATTAGCCAAGAACTCCAAAGTTAAGCGTGCTTGCACGGGAGTAGTCTTGGGATGGGTGACCCCCTGGGAAGTTTCTCAGGGCGCGCACGAGTGAGGACAAAGTGTGCGGAAAAGGCTAGTGGCGGTTTGTGAGGACAGTACTAGAGGTCAGAAGTAACTACCTCGGGGCCTACGGGGCCGGGGTGTTACAAGTGGTATCAGAGCAACCCTGCGACAGTGTGCTGATCCGTTGGATATCGGGCGGGCACTTAGCAGGGGAAAAGATTCTGGGATATGATTGAGATTGGTTTATGGGCGCAACGAGGACGTTGTGTTCCTAAGTGGGGGTGATTGTAACACTTGAGATTTAATTTAAACGGATTAATAGTACTACTCATACCAATAATGTGCATCTCCTTTTAAGGGAGCTCATTAGCCAAGAACTCCAAAGTTAAGCGTGCTTGCACGGGAGTAGTCTTGGGATGGGTGACCCCCTGGGAAGTTTCTCAGGGCGCGCACAAGTGAGGACAAAGTGTGCGGAAAAGGCTAGTGGCGGTTTGTGAGGACAGTACTAGAGGTCAGAAGTAACTACCTCGGGGCCTACGGGGCCGGGGTGTTACATCCTGTCGGTGTCAATGGGCCTCCGGTTCCCCCTGCACCCATTTCTCCGGGAGTACCTCAGGTTCGTTGGACTCATCCCTTGCCAACTTACCCCCAACAGCCATTCATACATTGCTGGCTTTCTACACCTGTGCCGGACGAGGGATGTTACCCCAAGCTTGGACCTCTTCTTCCAAAGCTTCAACTTGTGCCGAGGGGGGCACGCGAATGCCGAGGGCTTCGTCAATTTGCAGCAGGTAGCGAAGTTCAAGCTGTTCACC